CAGCAGTGCTAAGGATGTCCGACTGCAGTTTAGGCCTGCTCCCCGCTGGCAAGTGGACATCCCCCAAGGGCTGCCGGGCTGCCAGAGGGATGTCTGATTGCTATCTTAGGCCCAATCCCCGGGGAGCAGGCCTAAGCCAGCAAGTGGTCACCCCCGAGGGGTCCCAGACTGCGAGAGGGCACAGGCTGGGCTGAGGGACCCCCTACCCCCGAGTGCACAAATTTTTGGGCACCGGGCCTCTAGTCAAGCTATATAATACTACCATACCTCAAAAGCCCCCACATGACCTTATGTCCCTCCCGGTCATCCCCACCCCACAAGCATGACCACTGTCCTGACTTTTAACACTATCAATTTTTAACTTAATAAATATTTTTACTTTATATAAATTACATCATACAGCATTACTGTTTTATCTTGCTTCTTTCAACATTATATTTGTGAGAATCATCTATATTGTTGTGTACAGCAACATTTCTATAAATATTGCTTGAATATACTACAGTTTATTCATTCTACTATTGTTTGGGTTGTTTCTAATTTTGGACTATAATAAATAATGATTCTGTGAATATTTTATATGTGCCTTCTGGTTTAAAAAATATGTATGTACATGCACACAAATACAAATATAATGCATTTCTTGGAGATATCAGTGAATTGTCCAGGTCAAAGGGATTATGTGTTTACTACAGGCACAGTGCACGACAATGTGCACTGGCGGGGGGGGGGGGTTAGAGAAGGGAGGGTGGTGGTCCCTCAGCCGGACTGCGCCATCTCACAGTCTGGGACCCCTCAGAGGATGTCAACCTGCTGGCTAGAGCTCCAGTTGCTTTATATCCTCAACAATACTTGGTACCTTGTAGCTCTTTAATTTTAGTCTTTCTGGTAGTTGTGTAATGGTATTACATTGTGATTTTAATTTGCATTTCTCTGATAACTAATGAAGTATCAGCACCTTTTCAGTTGTTTAATGGCCTGTTATTTTATGAAATGGCTTTTTAAGTTTCTTGCCCATTTTCTTGGCAATTATCTGCCTTTTTACTATTGATTTGAAAGAATTCTTTTTAAAAAATATATTTTTATTAATTTCAGAGAGGAAGGGATAGGGAGAGAGAGAGAGAAACTTCAATGATGACAGATAATCATTGATCGGCTGTCTCCTGTATGCCCAACTCTGGAGACTGAGCCCAAAACCCAGGTATGTGCCCTGGCCGGGAATCGAACTGTGACCTCCTGGTTCATAGGTCAATGCTCAACCACTGTGCCATGCCGGCTGGGCTGAAATAATTCTTTTTTTTTTTAAGGTATTATTTACTACTTTATAGACAACGACACAAAATTTCAGGTTGATTTACTTAAACATAGTTATTGGCAACAGAGAGACTTAAAATACTCAGACCTCTTAACTATTACATTACTGTGATTGCTCTACTTTATTTTTTTCAGTTTTTTTTTAATTTAAAGAAAAACTTTTAAATATAGTAATGTTACATGCAATAAACACCAATTATTCAAGAAAAATCATCTTACATATAATATTACATGCAACAAACTTTAGTGTTTCAAGAATAAAATGATTTTAAGTATAATAATATTACCAAAACTGTATTAACATAGTATGATATCATAAAAGTTGTAGGAAATATTAAAAATCTATAAATAACAGGATTACTTCTATTATATTCTAGTATACTTCCTCCCCCTCTGGTTCTATTTTTGTTCATCAGATTATGTTGTTCATTATATTCCACAAATGAGTGAGATCATTTGATATTTATCTTTCTCCAACTTGCTTATTTTCCTTAGCATGATGCTTTTAAAGTCTATTTTTTTTTCCATCCCTTCACTTTCATCCTGTGTGTGTCTTTTGTTTTGAGGTGGGTCTCTTGTAGCCAGCATATCGTTGGGTCATGTTTTTGTATCCATTCAGCTACCCTACACCTTTTGATTGGAGTATTTAATCCATTTACATTTAGGGTTATTGAGAGGTACTTATTTATAGCCATTTTAATTTGGTATGGCTAGGCTTCTCTCTCTGTTTCTCCTTCTCAGCAATGCCTTACAGCAATCCCTTTAGCATTTCTTGTAATGCTGGCTTGGAGGTGATGAATTCCTTTACCTTTTTTTGGTCTGGGAAGCTCTTTATTTGACCGTCTATTTTGAATGATAGCCTTGCTGGATATAGTAATCTTGGTCTCAGATCCTTGCTTTCCATTACCTTAAGTACTTCATGCCATTCCATTCTGGCCTGTAGAATTTCTGATAAGAAATCAGGTGTCAGACTTATGGGAACTCCTTTGTAGGTACCCGTTTTCTTTTCTCTTGCTGCCTTTAAGATTTTCTCTTTGTCTTTAATTTTTGGCATTTTAATTATGATGTGTCTGGGCATGGGTCTGTTTGGGTTCTTCTTGTTTGGGGTTCTCTGTGCCTCCTGAACTTGTGTGACTTTTTCTTTTACCAGGTTAGGGAAGTTTTCTACCATTATTTCTTCAAACACCTTCTCTATTCCTTTCTCTCT